CTTATGGCCATTTGGGTTGAGCTATTTAATACTTGTTGCTTGCAAACAGAAGAGCTAAACAGATCTGGCATATCTGGGGATGCTCGGGTTTTTTTGGTTTTTTTTTTGTTTTTTTTTTTTGAGATGGAGTCTTCTCGCTCTGTCGCCCATACTAGGGTGCAGTGACACAATCTCAGCTCACTGCAGCCTCCACCTCCCGGATTCACGCCATTCTCCTGCTTCAGCCTCCTGAGTAGCTGGGACCACAGGCACCCACCACCACGCCTGTCTAAGTTTTTGTATTTTTAGTAGAGACGTGGTTTCGTCCTGTCAGTCAGGGTGGTCTTGATCTCCTGACCTCATAATCCGCCCATAATCCCAAAGTGCTGGGATTACAGGCATGAGCCACCGCGCCCAGCCAGGACGCTCGTTTTTTCTGTGGGCTGAGAGTAGCCAGCTCAGACCAAGCCTCTGACAAGGGAGCCTGAAGTACTGGGAAGACAGATTTACCCCTCCTGGGGGCGATTTTGGTGAAGCCCCTAATTTGGGTGAAGTTTTGAGGTCCATCTAAGATTGGGCGAATGGACTCCCTGGGAAAACAAGAAACAGATGCAGGCGGCTGTGGGTGGACAGGCCCCAAGTTAGTTTCGGATGGAACCTGCTGGAGGGAGCGTAGCACAGCAGTTAAGAGCCTGGGCTGCTGTGTTTGATGTCTGGGTCCAAACTGGCTTCTCAGGCTTTGCCTCTTGTTCGTTAAGCCATGCCAGGCTCCCTGCCAATCTGCTGACAATGAAGAAGGCAATCTCACATAGACTTGGGCTGCTCTGGTCCCTACGGAGTTACACCTCGCATTGTTTTAATAAATTAATAAACTGGCCTTCTGCTTCTTACTTCGCTCCTGTGGGCTGGGTTAGTGGACATCTACTGTGAACTGGAAAATTCAGTTTCTATGAATGCAAGGTTGAAGGCTGACTCTGGATTGCGAAACATTGACCAGGAGGCCTCTGGGAGACAGGTTGTCAAGCGTGGTAGCTCCCTGTTGCTGCCCGTGCCAGCATGCTTAGATTCTTGTCCAACATTTACTGATCATCTTCTGTGGCATTGTACATGCTTGGCCTCTTTTAATTGTCCTGCCCTCACTGTTGAGGAGTTTCCAGTTGGGAGACCTGCGCCAGGGGCCTAGATGAGGATGCTGCAGTGGAGGGGTAGAAGGAGGAAGGGCAGCTGCCGGTAATCCTCAGAACAGCCCTCCTCTAGCACACTCTGAGCTTCATTTTGAAGTGACTAATCTTCTGCTTTTAAGATCAGTAGCTCTGAAACGTGTTCAAAGGGAAGTGGAAGGGTGAAATATAGCAGCAGCCTTCAAACTGGATTTCTGATTCTGTTGGCCAAACCAAGCCCTGAGGCTGTGGCTCATAAATTGTTCTGTGTCTCCCACGCCAGCTACCTGCACAAGAAGGACAGTGATGGCAGGTGGGACAGCAGGGCTGGTAATGGGGTTTGATTGACAACGGTGTCAGGGACGTCTGCCCTGTGTCACTGAGGCTGTTGGTACCTGATGGATAAGAATCAGGCTGCCTGCCCCAGCCAGGCCCACATGGGAACAGCAGGGTCTTAGTGGGGCTCCTCAGAAGCCAGCAGTCTGAGGTACTGAGACATTGTAAGCCATTCTCCACACTGAGGACTTTTCTTACTCATTGTTTTCTTCTTCCCTGGATTCCTGATTTTGAAAATGTGGTTGCCAAACTCTGTATATAAAGTGATGTAATAGTTAAGTAACTGTATCCATCAGAATTCCTTCCAGATAGAGCCCATATTCCTAGTTGCTAGAATATACAAAGAATGCTCAAAGCTCAACAGTAAAAAACCAATCTACTTAGAAAATGAGCAAAAAATGTGAACAGACATTTCACCAAAGAGGATATAGAGATGGTAAACAACCACGTGAAAGCGTATCCAACCTCATTAGTCATTAAATGAGTGCAAATTAAAATCACGAGATACCCCTACACACCTATCAGAATGGCTAGAATACAAAATAATGAAGACACCAAATGCTGGCAAGAATGTGGAAAAACTAGATGTCTCCTACATTGCTGGTGGGAGTATAAAACGGCACAGCCACTTTGGAAAGCAGCTTGGCAGTTTCTTGTAAAAGTAGACAAGCAACTACCATGCAACCCAGAAATAAAAACTTGTGTTCACACAAAACCTGTATCCAAATGTTCCTAGCAACTGTATTCATCATCGAGACTGGAAACCATTCAAATTTCCTTCCACAGGTGAATGGCTTAACTGTTGTGTGTGCATACCATGGAATACTATTCATTGATAACGAGGAGTGAACTATTAACAGATACAACAATTTGGATGAATTTCCAGATAATTATGGTGAGTGGACAATGTCAATTCCAAAATGTTATATACTGTATGATTGCATTTTGATGGAAATCTTGAAAGAACAAAAGTATAGAAATGGTGACTAGATTAGTACTTGCCAGGCGAGTGGGGAGGAGATGGCTCTGGCAATAGAAACGTGGCTTGAGGGGTACCTCTGATGGAACTGTTTCACATCTTGATTGTGGTGGTGATTACACGAATCTGTGCATCTGATAAATTGCACAACTAAATGTGCACATGCACACGCACACACACAAATGAGTGCATGTGAAAGGAAATCCGATACGGTGGATCATATCTAATATGGTGGGTTGTATCTGAATACAGTGGATTATCAACCAGGGCTTTCTTGGTTATGATGTTGTACTACAATCATACCATAGGAGGAAAGTGAATGAAGAATATATGGAATCTCTCATATTATTTTTTCCAACTGTATGCAAATCTACCATTATTTCTCAATAAAATATTAAAAAAAGAGAAACAGAATTTTAGCCATGGACTTAATTTAATTAATGTGTTGTTTTGACCCGTTTACCTTTTGGGGTAGAAAATCCAAATTGCTGTGACTGGTCCCAGGAGGACCCATAAAAGTTCCATGGTCGGTCCTAGGAGAGTGGTCTCTGGAAAGTGGCCCAGGATCAATAAACTGCTGCTGTCTACCTTTGAGGGCGCTACCTCCAAACACAGTCACATTGGAAGTCGGGGTGTCAACCTAGGAATTGGGGGGAAACACAAACCTTCAGTCCTTAATGGGAATCCAAGTCGGGGGGGGTCATAAGTTGAGTGTCAGAAGAGAAAGATGAAGGAGGTATTATTAGTGCTGGTGGGCCAAACCTGAAGTCTGGACACTTACTTAATCATTACATTGATTCATATAGTAAATATTCACCAGGTACATATATTTTGAGTGCTGGGCTAGTTTCTGATGATGCAAAAATGAATGGCTTTATTGTCTTTGTCCTCAAGGCCCTCATGGTCTAGTGTAGAAGACAGGCTGTAAATAGTTACCACTCAGTATGATATGTGCTGCTGCAGAGCGTGGTTTGGGCGCTATGGGGAACCAGAGGGCATGGAGCCTGGTTTGGAGGGCTAGGGAAGACTTTCTGAAATATGGGAGACAAGTTGAAACCTATCTGGCGGCAACATGCAGGAGGAGGCGGGACATTCATGGCACAAGGCCAGCATGGCAGCAGTGTGAGGTGTGATGGGCACAATCCGTTCGAGGAACTGCCAGGTGCCCCATCTGGACCAATATGTCCGAGCTGGGGGCCTGGCATGAGGGTCATGCGGTCCTGTGGGTGCCAAAACAAGGTGGTTAATTTTATCCTAAAAACAATTGGCATCTACTGAGGAGTTTTCTTTGGGAAGATGTAAAATTAAATTAGAATGGGCAATGTATCTCTGGAAGCAGAGTGAAGGGGGAGCTGGAGGGGCAAGCCCAGAGGCAGGGCCGACACTGAGCCGCATGGTCCCTGCAATGGACAATGTGAGCCTGAGGTAAATGGGCTGATGTGGGACTGATGGATGCAAGGTGACAGGCTAAGTAGGGACCGTCATTGCTCCCAGTCACACTGCAAGCTGCAGCAGCGCAGAGCCGTGTCTGATCTGACCCCAGTGCCTGACCAGAGTTGGGGCTCAGAGTTTGTTGAGTGAATTCTTACTGCATGGCCAGGGTTTCTGGTCCTGGCAGCTGGGTGGATGGAGGGGTCATATGGAGAATCCTGGAGTGCAGTAGTAGCCATGTGTGAAGAGTCAAGCAGGTCTGCAGCCTGAGGATGAGTGTGGCAGCAGGAGGCTCCTCTGGGAGCTGGTCATGAGTTTGATATGGACCGTGGGATGGGGCCCACTTTTGTTTGTATCCTGGGGTACAGATCACAGCTCCATGAAGGTTTGAGCTAGGCAGGTGAGCCATGCTGGGAGCAAAGATGGTGGTGGCTAGGTACTTGCTTGTCCCTAACAGAAAGGCTGTCTGAATTGGTTTGGCCTGAATAGTTACAAAGATCTGCCCAGATGGCAGGAGAGCTCCTTGCCCTGAAGTAGCAGGTGTGGCTGAGAAGGAGGAGTCAGAGCTGGAGAGGGGTACCAGGATAGGGTGAGGTGAACAAGCTGGGTATGGGTGCACAAGGCTGGAGCACCAGTCCTATGTGTGAAGATGGGAGCCAGCTTTTCTGCTCCCATTTGACCCCCTCTTCCTAGTGGTTTCCCACCAAGGTGGGAACAGACACATTAGGACAAGGACACTGCCAGCATTGGCTGCTGTTCTGGGAGCAAAAGCATGGCTGCCATGTGAGTTTTTGTCTTCAGTATAGTCACGGTGCTGAGAATCATGCCTTGAAATCCGGCAGCTCTGTTAAAAACTGAGCAAGGTGTACTTCGGGGTTGTGTTGAGAAGGGTGGTGTTCAGCTAAATCAGGAGGGAAGGCCAAGGAAAATCAGGCCTGGTACATGTCAACAGGTGGGATCCAATAGCCAAGCACATGGTCCTGCACACTGTACTACCCAATGTTCACAGCAAGGATTGCAACTTCTCACCAGGGCATAGAAAATTTGCCTTCATGTCAACCACCACCTCAGCCCTTGACTTTGCCCAACAGACTCTTCCCAGGTCAATAGCCACTTCCTCCCTGGGGCTTAACAGGCATTCCTTGAATCCTGCCCTGGGCAGTTAGTCCTTCCCTTTTTTGTGAACTCATGGCTGTTTTCATTGTCTGCACACAGAGCAGTGGTCTAGGGAGTGAAGGGTTTGGGAATAGACCTTTTCCTTTCTTAGCTTGCTATAGGGAATGTGTTTCAACTAAGTAAAGTGGAAAAACAGAAGTACAAAGCAAGGGTCCCAGACCTGAGGGCTCTGTAGCTCTGGAATCTGGATTTTATTCCAGATTCAACACTTAGCAGGGAGCTGAAGTGGTCAGCCCTGTGCTTTACAAGGCTGATTGGGCAGCACCCATAGTAGAATTGTCAGCATAAAGTAATTGAAAGGATTAGAATCCAGGGTTTTTAAAGTTGTTTTTATTTGCTTTTAAGGTTACTTCTCTTTAATGGGTCTCACTTTATTGACCAGGCTGGTTTCGAACTCCTGGGTTCAAGTGATTTCTCCTGCCTCAGCTTCCGAAAGTGCTGGGATTACAGGCGTGAGCCACTGCACCCAGCCCAGAATCCAGTTTTAAAGAGTTTATTCAAGCCAAAAGCTGGGAGTGACCATCTGAGAAACACAGACTCCAGGGAAATATTTGGAGCCAGGGCTCTGAACTTAAAGTCTTGCTGACATAGGCAGAAAACAAAGAAATTTAGTAACCTTGTAGAACATTTTCTTGTATAACATTTCTTGTTTAACTTTGTTGTTTAACATTTTCTATGCGAGGCTGGTTTATGAGTTACAAGGTACAATTAATTAGAGGTTGTTCCCCTGCCCCCACCTTGTTTTCTTTTCTCTACAGCTTGTTTTCATTTCCTTTCCAATTTAAGAATGTGTTTAACATTCTACCCCAGACAATGTGATGGTCATGAAGTCTCTGGAGAGAGGAAAGAGGGAGTTAATCTATATTGAAGATCAAATCAACAGTGAAGAGGAAAGGGGTCTTCCCTGGAGCCCTTCAGTCATATACAACATTTTACACAACAATGTAAGTAAGGAAAAAGGCTGATCTATAATCAGAGAAACAAAGGTTGCATCTACCTGTTTACATGACTCAGGTCCCATGATCAAATTCCCTTAAGGCTCAGAATATTTTAAAGTTCCAACAGCTTAGATTTTGAATTGCTTATTTTCACAGAATGGATCAGCCTAAGGACGTATGTGTGGGAGAAGATTCCAGAAGGTCTTGAGACACTCCAGATGAAGGTTGGTGTGGGGCTGTGCTGCTGGAGCACCAGAGAGTGAAAAGAGGCAAGTGATTTATAGTGTCATCAAATATCGACAAGTTTGGATTTTCCTTCAGAGTTGGGCAAGGCCTGGCTTGACTTCTTTCTCTGCTGGTCTCCATGAGGCTCAAACATGTTCTGATTTTCAGGTTCTGAAAAAGCTCTCAGGGAAAAAGCAGCTTCCATTCTGTTTTTTGCACTTTCTGAATTCCACTTCCCTTTGATTTTTGGCCTGGTAATTTCTGTCTTACCAGCTTTTAGATGTCCTTGAGATTTTTCTTTTCTTTCATTTGTTTTTTTCCTTGAGAAAGGGTGTAAACCAAAAACTCTTTTATTCTTTTTTTTTTTCTTTTAAGACAGGATGTACACCAAAAAGAAAATTCTGAGGCACCCCCACCCTTCAACCATCTGAATGGATTTTCTCCTGGGCCAGAGCACTCTTAACCTGAAAGACTGGTTCAGGCCATGATGGGAAGTAGAGGTCAGACAGGACTCATTATACCTCTCTGATGAGAAGCATTTATAATCTATTCTCTCTGAAGCCTGCTACCTGGAGGCTTCATCTGTAGGGTAAAACTTTGGTCTCCGCAACCTCCTATTGCAACACAGACATTTTCTTTCTATTGATCCCAGATCTTTAGATAAACTCAACCAATTGTCAACTAGTCAATTTTAAATCTACCTATAACCTGGGAGCCCCCAACCTCTGCCTAACAATTCAAGTTGTCCCACCTTTCTGGATAGAACCAATGTATTTTTTAAATGTATTTGATTGACACCTCATGTCTCCCTAAAATGTATAAAACAAAGCCATACCCCAATCACCTTGGGCATATGTTCTCAGGATCTCCTGAGGGCTGTGTTACAGGCCATGGTCACTGATATTTGGCTCAGAATAAATCTCTTTAAATACTTTACAGAGCTTGACTCTTCATTTGTCAATAATCTCACTCTCATCCAGACTGGAGTGCAGTGGTGCAATCACGGATTACTGCAGCCTCTACCTCCCTGGGCTCAAGTGATCCTCCCTCCTCAATCTCCCAAGTACCGGAGACTACAGGCATGTACCACCATGCCTGGTTAATTTTAAAACTTTTTGTATGGATGGAGGTCTTACTGTGTTGCCCAGGCTGGTCTCAAACTTTTGGCCTCAAGTGATCCTACCACCTCAGCCTCCCAAAGTGGTGGAATTACAGGGAGAAGATTTTTATTTTATTTTTATAGAGATGGGGTCTCAGTATGTTGCCGTGGCTGGTATTGAACTCCTGAGTTCAAGCGATAACCCTGCCTCAGCGTCTCAAACTGCTGGGATTACAGGTGTGAGCCACCATGCCCAGCCTGGGAGAAGACTTTTAAAACATATTTTGTTTAGGCCGGGCGTGGTGTTGAGGTCAGGAGTTCAAGACTAGGCTGGCCAACATGGTGAAATTGTGTGTCTACTAAAAAATATAAAAAACTTAGCGAGGTGTGGTGGCAGGTAGCTATAGTCCCAGCTACTTGGGAGGCTGAGGAAGAAGAATTGCTTGAACCAAGGAGGTGGAGGTTGCAGTGAGCCGAGATCACGCCACTGCACTGCAGCCTGGGTGACAGAGCGAGACTCTGTCTGAAAAAAACAAAAACATGTTTTCTTGAGTTTGTTCAGCTGTGTATGCACAAGTTGATTGGAATCTCTCAGCCCGTCCCAACCCCACCCCGGAATGCTCTTCCCAGGCTTCCTAACAGGTATTCTTCTTTACCTGGATTGCATTTGTAGAAAACACTCTGCTTCAGTGGGAGGCAAGGAACAGAATCTTTCTCTGTCCAGGGCATACTCCTCCAGGTTATCTGATTCCAATTCTATGGGACCTGTCTTACAATTCTCAAAGCTACAGATAACTGATAGCAATGAAAAATAATTCTTGTCTGTGGACATGCAAATGCCTGTGTTCTGAAGAGAGACAACCCTTCCTTACCTCCCCCAAATCCCCCAGTTTGCTTCCATTTTGCACATTCATTTCAATATTTCTCTTCTGTTCTTTCTTTTCTCTTTTTAGGGTGTCTCCCTCTGTGCCAGGCCAGAGTGCAGTGGTGCAATCATGGCTCACTGTAGTCTCAGCCTCCTGGGCTCAAGAGATCCTCCCACTTCAGCCTCCCAAGTAGCTAGGACTACAGGCACGTGTCACCATATCTGCCTAATTAAAAAAAATTATAGAGATGGGCTCTCCCTATGTTTCCCAGGTTGGTCTCAAACTCCTGGGCTCAAGTGATCCTCCCATCTTGGCCTCCCAACTTGCTGGGATTATAGGCATCTACCACTGTGCCCAGCCCGTTTCAGTATTTTTGATCAATAAATTTGACTTTCAGATTCTCATTTGAATTAGCTGTCACACCTCTTCAGTTTCTTCACTGGGGAATTAAATATAATCTTTAGCACATGATATTGTTTAGCTCGGTGTCCCCACCAAATCTCATCTTGAATCGTAATCCCCCTGTGTGTCAAGGCAGGGACCTGGTAGGGGATGATTGGATCATGGGGACGGTTTTCCCCATGGTGTTCCCATATAGTGAATGAGTTCTCAGGAGATCTGATGGTTTTAAAGTGTTTGGCAGTTCCCCCTTCTCTCTCATTCTCTCTCTCTCTCTCTCTGGCAGCTTGTGAAAAAGGTGCTCACTTTTCCTTTGCTTTCTGCCATGATTGTAAGTTTCCTGAGGTCTCCCCCAGCCATGTGGAACTGTGAGTTAATTAAACCTCTTTCCTTTATAAATTACCCAGTTTCAGGTAGTTCTTTATAGCAGTGTGCAAATGGACTAATACAGCACATATTCATTTTTATATCTATATTGAGTTATCATTTAACTTGTTTTTGAAAATTATCTTTTAACATGCATTTTTCTCTTTCTTATTATCTTCTTTTGCTAAAGCCTGTTCTCCAGTAGCTTCCTAAGAAAGGGTGCACAGGAGGCCCATTTTCTGAGCCCCTCCTTATCTGACAATGTTTTTGTTTGACCTTTGATTAATAATGTGACTGGATGTTGAACTTGTGAAAGGAAAATAAAAACTCGGGACCCCAATTCAGTATGCCAAAAGGAAAAAATAAAAAGAAGCTGAAAGCTGAGTCATGCAAGAAACTGCCTTTCCTTTTGCTCCTAAGTAGATGGCTACAGATAAAAGGTTAAATATCTCCACAGGTAGCTACTCTGTGTTCACCTTATCTTTTGTAAAGTGCCGATTTACTGAGCAGGAGACAGATAGGTAATTGACTATTCCCTAGCTGCTCTTTTCCCCTTGCAACATGTGGATTACCATACTCTTCCTCTATCCCCTCCAGAGATGAATTTTTCCGTGTCTGTTTCCCCCATTTAAATACTGAAGCCCTCACTATCATCTTTGGAGAAAGGGACAGATCATAGACTGTTTCTATGATTCTGTGTCCTTTTCTTCCATGCATGTCCTTAACCTTGGCAAAATACACTTCTAAATGGATTGAAACCTGTCTCAGATACTTTTTGGTTCACTAACTCTAGGATGGGAAATATTTCCCCTCAGAACTTTGAAGGCATTGTCCCCTCATCTTCTAGCACTCAGCATGGCCATTGAGATTTGATGGCATTTTAAATTGCAACATGTTTATTAACGAGACCAGTTTTTTCTCACTAGAAGTTACACATAAAATACTTTAAATAGTTCCTGGAATTTAATGAACTGAATTAATGTTAGCTATTACTATTATTGAAATATTTTTTTTCTCTGACATTCTTTAATATTTTTATTTTTTTTCTAAAAAACAGGGTCTCACTCTTTTGCCCTGGCTGGAGGGCTGTGGTGCAATCCTAGCTCACTGCAGCTTTGAATTCCTGGGCTTAAGTATCCTCCTATCTCAGCCTCCTGAGTATCTGGGGCAACAGGCATGTGCAACTATGGCTGGCTAATTTTTAAATTTTTCATAGAGATGTGATCTCGCTATATTGCCCCGGCTGGTCTCAAATTCCTGGCCTCAAGCAATCTTTCTAGATTATAGAACTTCTTGGCTTCCACAACTGCATGAGCCAATCCTTTATAATAAATCTATATCCATCTGTATATGTCTGTGTCTGTCTCTCTACCTATCAATCTATCCATTCATCCATCCATCCATCCATCCATCCATCCATCCATCCATCCATCCATCCATCTATTTTATTGTTTCTGTTTTTCTGGAGAACCCTGACTAATACAGAAGGTGAGCCCAACTTCTTACTGAGGATTCTCAAGCCTCATCCTCTTGAAGTGCTGAGATTACAGGCATGAGCCACTGCATTCAGCCTCTGATTGTCATTGACAATTATGTGCTCTAGTGTGAGTCTCTTTTACCCACTGTGCTGGGTATTCACTGGCCCTTTCAACTTGGAAACGTGTGTCTTTTGGCTTTGCAAAAATATCTGTAGCATTGATTGCCTGATTTCTCTCCCTCAGATCGGGGCCTCTGCAGCGTCCGACTCCAGGGCACTGTTCACCCCATATTCTATGAATGGCATCCTCTGGAGTTGTGCTGTTGCACCTGCACCTTTTATTTATTTATGTTGGAACACACTGGAGTCAGATGCCAGACTGCCTTGATCCTCTAATTATCTGATCTCTTTCTTCCTGTTTTCCATCTTTTTGTCTTTTCATTCTACTCTCCTCAACTCTTGGTCGAGGAATTTTTCATTTTGCTCATGCCTTAAAAAAATCTTAAGAGCTTTCTTTTGTTCCCTTTTTAAAAAAACATTCCATTGTTGTTTGATGTGTGGGCTCTCCTGTTTTCTTTCTGAGCATATTGTATCTAATTTTTGAAGGTTGTATTTTCTCGCTTATTTTAATTTTCTGCAGATACTTTTTTTTTTACTTTCCCCAATTAGTTTGTTTCTGACTTTCTTCCTCAATCTCTCCTGAACTATTGTTTCTTTTTAAGATCAGAGCAGATACTTAGGAACTTTTCAAACTGTATGTGGGTGGGATTGTCACCTAGAGTGCTTTTTTGGAGAGTAATTGGATGGTGTGATAATTAATTTTATGTGTCAATTTGA